GTCAAGTTGGTGTGGTGTCATCGAGTGGGATATGGCGACTTGAGTAGTTGCATTCCGAGAAACCCAGCGGTGTGCTCCGTCGCCACTGGGAGCGGGGGCTAAAGACTAAATCCTGGGGTTTAACAGGGCGAATGACGGCAGCGTCGCAACAGGTCACAGATGGATGTGTGTTGCGGCAGGCTGCGTCCGACGACGGTGGTGAAATTTGCAAGTGATTATCACAAACTTTACAGACAAGTCGACAGGCATGGACAGCAGGTGCAGCTGGACGTGCGCTGGAGGTAGCCTGGGGCCCGGGATGCCTGAGTGGACGATCAGGCGTGGAAGGTTTGTGGCAGGCAGGCGGTCGGTGGCACCATTCGAGGCGTGTGGACAGGCGCCCAGATGGCAGCTTGGCTTGGCTCGGTCTGCCGGATGCGACTCCGCGAGAGGCCAAGTCGAGGGCTGGCGTGGATCTGAGGCGTGCATGGTGGACAGGCCTCGACGCAATGGCGCAGGATGATTCGCATGCAGGCCTGGGACACGATGCAGTGTTTTGATTGAGCACAACGGCGCGGTCGCACAGCAAGCCGACTCCAGCCGCTGTCAGAGAGCTGGTCCCCAAGCAGTAAGACAGCCATGGGCGTTGCAGGGTGGGTGAAGAATCTGCAGCTAACGGGGCGTGCGCTGGAAGTTCAGGTACATCTCCCGTGGTGGACCGCACGGGTTTCGCAGTGGGAGAATAGACAATTCACTACGCTGGCAGAGTGGAGTTTGAAAAATTGAGGCATAATGGGTAGCGCCGAGCCCAGTGCGCTGGGGCGTCGGACAGCTGTGGATCGGCCTGGGTAGCCGGGCGGGCGAGGCAGCGCTGTCATGGCATCGATGTACCTCTACACAGGCGCCCGCTCCGGCTCTGGGTGGTGTCGTTCGCATGGGCAGGGATTATTCGACGTTGGTTAGCAGCCAGCAGCCTTAGACTGCGGCGAACCTCAGTGGGGTGTTGCTAAGAGAAATACCGCCTCTATTCACCTGTCCCCATCCCCATAACCCACCTCCTCCCTCCTCCGCACCCCGCTTGCCTGCCTCACTACTCCCCTCACCACCCGTCCAGCTCGCCCATCCCACTCCAAGCCTGCAGCAGCTGTGGTCTCATCGTCCCAAGCTGCCCCTGACGCGTCTCCCCGCCCGCCGACCGCTCCGGTGCGCAGCCTGGCTCGCGCGCGTCTCATTGGCCCGTAGCCGGTCGTGCCCATCACTTACGCAGCGCTGACCTGCACCCTTGGTTTTGCGAGCAGACCCCTCACCAGCAGTGGCCACGACCGCTTGCACCCACACACTGTTCCCAGTCCATCGTAGCCTTATAGTCCCAGACTGTCGCTTCCTCTGACCCACGGGTTGTCTCTGTCCTCGCATCATCTCCCTCACTGCCCACTCTCGTTTAACCCAAGATCGCCCGCGGGACCCCGTAGGCCCACAATTCTTACCCAGACGTCTGCCCGCCATGGACACGATGCAGAACTTCAACACCTTTGTCAATCCCCAGGACCTCGAAAACCACGGCGACTTCCAGGACTCCTTCTGGCAGATGCGCATTGATCCCAACGCCTTCCAGTCGTACGATGCCGTTGGCGTCCTACCTGGCACAAGCGAGCGCTCAAGCCGGAAACAGGACTCGGCCCTCGACCTGACGTCCTTCTCCAGCCAAGGCTACCCGTGCATCAAGACCGAGGACGAATTCAGCAGCTTCGTCAACACGGCCCAGTCGACACCCACTTCCAACACACCCTCGCCCCACGACCAATTCATCTTCAGCAATGCCAACTCACCAGGCGAGTACAACCGGGACCAGAGCCAGACCAGCTCCCCGGAGACATGCAATGAATCCCTTACCAACGACAGCTGGCCTGCAATCCACATCCCCCAGGCCCTCGAGCAGGCCAAGGTCTCTATCGCTCTTGATAAGAACAAGAACCGGGCCGAAACGCAAATCAAAACTACCGTGACCATGGACCCGCTCGCTTCGCACATCCAGTGGATTCGCTTCCCCCGCCAGAATCTCGCCAAACCAAAGCAGATGGCCAGCACCGAGGAGGTTGAGGCCAACGAGAAGAACAACTCCACTGCCCGGTTACAGCTGACTCTTGTTCTGGCAACCGCCGTTGAGAAGCCAGAAGGACTGGAACGCGCCTTCCGCCGTGCCCGTGGCGAGGAGCCCACGCCAAGGCGCCCACGTGGCGTCGCCATCACAGACATCGCCAAAGACGACCGGTGCCACCCCCAAAATGGCGGCGCTGTCATCATCTGCGAAGGCTGCAAGGAACGCGAAGCCAAAAGATTCAACCGCAAGAAGAAGCGCGAGGCTGACGATGAGAAAGAGTGGTCCAACTACGAGGACGACCGCATCATCATGATTAACGAGAAGGAGTTCAAGAGATGGCAGGACAACGATAACTCCGACTTCTCTATGAACGCCAAGAAAGTCGAGTTCGTCATGCGCATAACGTGCTACTGCAGACATCAAGAAGACAAGTCCCCCGTCGGCTACAGGGTCATCTTCACCTTCAAGGATGCCAACGAGAGCGTACTCGCTCAGGAAGTCTCCGAGATTGTACAGATCACAGATGACCACAAGAACAAGGAAAGTCCCTCAGAGGCCCTGAGCTCTTTGACTATTCCCACTGGGCCACATGAGAACATGCTCCCCCAGTACACAATTCCCATGTCAGAATACTCTCCGACCGTCTGCAGCAGCCAGTACTCATTACCCACGACGCCCATTGTCCCACAAGCTCCCGGATTGCCACACTCACAGAGCATGTTTTTCCCACGGGACGCACAGTACCCTCGGATGATGAACCCTACCCCTGCGAGTCAAGCTCCAAACCAAGGCAACATGAACTTTTACGGTACTGCCATGCCTGCGCCCGCACCTACTCAGCAGTACGCCTCGCACCAGCGCGGCCAGAGCTACTTCTCGCCAACGATGCTCAGTCCTACAGCAGACCAGATGTCAGCACAGGCTGGGTACGCCCTCCATCGCCCGCATTCTCTGGACAGCTTCCCACAGGCATACAACTTCCAATTCTCGGCACAGCAATCGTATCCTCAGATGTACTCATCCCAACCGCCATCACGCGCCACCTCCCGGCCAGCATCGCCAACTTGGGACCAAGGGCGGGGCGCCAAGAAGATGCGCGCTCAACCTGGCTTCATGCTGTATGAAGACTTCGAGGAATGAACTTCTGACGATACGAAAGCACGAATTACGACAACAAATATGGGGCTATGTATAGCGGGCATCTGGGTGGCGTTTTGGGGTTCTGGATATCTATGTTTGATGATGATTTTGGTGGAATGGTTCTCTGGTACGAACAACATTGGCTTCGGCCACTTTGATTCTGGAAAAAAAGCCTGCCTCGCTCGAAATCTCATTTGTATTCTTCTTCGCTGTCGAGGGTCGTTCTTACAGGCGAGGCGATACTATCCGCCATAGACTTTGCTCGGTTACTACCACTTTAATCACTAGACCAAATCCTCTTACACTGCTAGATCCCTCGCAAGGACTAGCAGGTTCAACGATCTCTCGCTGCAAGCATACAACCTGAACTTTGTGGATTGTCACCAAATAATGATGTGCTCTGATGTTATACAGTAAATGCTCACTTTTCTGCGTGCTGGAACAGAGGCTCATGTATTCCTCAAAGGTGCACACAACCAATCCTGCAGACAATAAAAGACCCTCGTAGTCTGCAAATCGTGGGTGCTCAGCTCCTGCGCGAAGACAGCTAGTACCGTATACATCTACCGCATCTGCTTACCACATATTGATGACATGAAGGGACGATGCTGCAGCGGAGCTTATCCGATGCAGCAGGGTTATCACAGAGGCGGCCAAGCTACGGAAGTTAATCTATGATAGATTAGAAGGGCGTGGGATGCGCACTGCAGCGTCGATAAGACAAGACCGTTTAGCAGGGCCATAGGACACACACGCCGCAGGTACCCGAGCATCACCGTATAGTGCGCTCCTGGGCACTAATGGTGGCTGCGGTTCGTGTTGCGTTCTGTAGGAAATCTTAGGTATCGTCAAGATTTCAATCTAGCTAGGAGTATACATCGTGTTGGAAACTGTCTAGTTGTCACGGAATAATAGCGTGTATGCAGCAAACAGGACCCAGATTCCAGCAACTCCTGGTGCTGATGTGTGTGCAATTCACTGATAGCAAGAGCAAGGAACGCAAACCACGACCTAGACCTTCCCTCTCCCATTCGACACTCCGCTTCGGACGTACGGAAACAGGGTCGTCCAAACAAACTTTCCAGAGGCGTTTATGCATGTCAGAACTCCAGATCGTGCGTTTCCTGTAATATACACTGCAGTATCTCATCGAAATCGAAAGGAAGCACATCATCCATCTCATTTGCATTGTGTCGTACGGAATAACTATAAGTTGTGTGACCACCAACACGCTGTTCGTTGCATTCATCCAAAACCTTCCTATTGCGCATTACCAGTGCCAGAATAGCCGAACGAACCGGAAAAGAGAACCCCAAACGCCAGACTGAACACCGAGAAAAAGGACTGGAAAGGGGTAACATTATTGTGGATGGGCTGGAAGACGCGAGGAAGTAAGGAAATGCAAATGGTTCATGCAGCATCGGGAAAGGGAGACGGAGGTGAATGATGGGTGCCCGCGCAGGACCAGACACCTTCTAGAGCACCGGGATGCACATCCAGTCGGGAGAGATGCAACGGCCCGAAGCCGCGCCTGCTTGCGTATAAGCCGGGCCAGCTATATCACGCAGGAAGCATCCGGACATGTATGCACGGCACGGTACGTCTCTCCCCGCCACTGGGCACACGGCAAGCAGGCTGCGAAGTACGCCCCGCATGGCAGCACATCAACTACTGCAGACCCCTCGTGTCTTCTGCAGCGCTTCTGCGACGGCTTGTACAGGATGAGAAGGGGAGGGGCCGGCGCGAGCGATCGATCCTCGTGGGAACACGACGTTGTAGGCTAAAAGCCTGCAGCACTAGCCTTCCTGTATTCCTGAAAGTTGCTAGCGATGGTTGGGTCTTCTTGACTGCGCAGCTCTTCCTCCCAGCGCTCTTCTTCCTGCGCGTGGGCGGCTTCGAAGGCGGCGGATTGGCCGCGGTGGAAGTACAGGGGTGCGCGTTTGAGGAGGGCGACGTCTTGCGTGACGAGGATGTGCTTGACGCTTGAGCCTGGGGGATTTGTTAGTCAGCTCAATCTATTGTCGAGGCAGGAGGTAAGCTTACCGGGTGTCTCATATTTGGCTTGCAAGAGAAGCTGGTCCACGACGTGTCGTAGCCCGCGGGCGCCTGTGCCCATCCTACTTGCTTTGCGTGCGATTTCGCGAAGCGCGCCGTTTGTGAAGCGTAGCTCGATGTTCCTGAGGTACGATTTGTGCTCTTCTTGTCTTATCAGGCTGTCTTTGGGCTCGGTGAGAACGCGGACAAGAGCTTCTTCGTCCAGAGCTGCTACTGCGCAGACCGTGGGTATGCGGCCTATGAGTTCGGGTATCATGCCAAACTTCTGCAAATCTGCTGGTTGCACATGGTCAAGTACATTAACCTTCTCTTCCCGTTGAACCTGTCTAACACCAAATGGGTTCGGGACCTCGTTCTTGGGCGGTACGAAGAAAGGGGAGTCTTTCTTGAAGGACTCAGCTTCCACACCTGTCAGCATAACACCATCGGCGGCGGCATGTGCGTTCGATGACCGTATCGAGGCCCCGAAACCCATACTGCCCTTGGACTTCCTGTCCAAGATGATCTTGTGTAGGCTCGAAAAGGCGCCAGTGCAAATGAAGAGTATGTTGTCAGTTCGGATGTTGAAGACCTCGCCTTTGTTTCCGCCAGGCCCAGGAGGCTGAGGACCACCAGGCATTCCACCGGGCCTGTTCGCGCTCTTCTCCGGTTTGGCTTGCACCTGTACGGTTGTGCCCTCGATGATCTTCAGCAGCGCCTGCTGAACACCTTCGCCGCCGACATCCTTGCCGTATGACATCTTGGACCCTGCGATCTTGTCGATCTCGTCCAGAACAATAATGCCATGCTCGGTTGCGTCGATGTCATAGTTCGCGGCTGAGAAGAGACGAGCAACGCACGACTCGACGTCGTCCCCAATGTATCCTGCCTGTGTAAAGGTAGTGCAGTCCGACATGGAGATGGGTAGACCCAGCGTCTTGGCCAGTGTCTTGCACATCAACGTCTTTCCCACACCAGTAGGTCCAAGTATGAGCACATTAGACTTTTCTATCTGCAGCTGGTGCTCGCTGGTATCGAGTAAGGAGTCGGGGTCTGAGGAGGTGGACGAGGCTGGTTTGTAGGCAGGTGCTTCGCCGTAGGGTAGAGGGTCACTGTGACTGTGCAGTTCTACGGTGGACTGCTGGCCGGGGAACTCGTCTGCTCTGCTGCTCAGCGCCCGCATCATAAGAGGATGACGGTTGAAGTCGTCGATGATTGGATCAATATGAGATTTGGGGCTACCTTCTACAGGATGTCTGTACACGGATGCTCGCCTCTGAGCCTGCGCCTCGAGTCTAGCCTGCTCATGGTGCTGTCTCTTGATCTCTTGGATGCGGAGATGGTGCTCGTGGACAGCCACGCTCAAGACTATCTTTGCGCGATCCTGATCAACGACGAATTGATCGAGGTGCTGTCGCAGCACTTTGGGCGTGATGTGGCCTGCGCCCACATTGCTGGTGTTGCCCAGTGGACCGCGCGTGGGCTGGTCAGGCTCATAGAAAGACGAGAAGCCCTGGCCGCTGAAGTCGGAACGATTGAATCTAGACGATTTGCGCGTGTGCGACTGGGACAAGGGCGCGCGACGCGAGATGCTATAGAGGGCGAGGTAGGACGCGCGGGCCTGGGGCGAGACGGCAGCGGGAAGCGCCCTCCGGATCGTCTTGGACAGCAGCATCGTGGGAGAGGAGGCGCAGGGAAATCACACTACAAACTCAAAGACATCGAGGGCATCACGGGGGCTTTAATACAAAGTCGCGATGGCGCCGGCTGCGCTCGAGGCTTGGAAGTAACCGTGGTTGAGCCGCCGTGAGCTCCCCACGTTAGGCCAGAGATGCGGGGGAAGCTCTGTCCCCACGGTTCCCGATGCCGATAAGGGCCTTTGCCGCCGACGCGTGACCAGCGTGCTACTATCAGGTAGTCTACAACACCATGTAGTCGGCAGAGCGCCTCAGTGTCCGCTTCAATGGCATTCTAGATGCGGATGCCGGTTCCTGGCTCCGAATGAATTGTAGCGCAAATCCTTCCGACAGCACCCCAGCAGAGATACGCTGTTGGGACGTGGCGCGGGCGCGATGCCCGTTACAGCGTGCTCTGAGCTATGACGTTGATTGCTGGGTTGGCAACAACTTTTGGTTGAGCGCTGCTCTCAGCATCGGGTTAGAGACCCCGCAAATTCGTGATCGTCTCTGCAATTCATCTGGCAGGCCGTCGCTGTGAAACCTGCATCCTCCCGCTGCCATATACTCTGGTAGCAAACCTCACAGCTCCTCCCACCTACCATCCCACACCATGGAGCTCAACAAGGCTTCCGCAAACTCGGCCCTGAGCGACGCCCCGGGGCAGGTCCCCAACGATGGCACTGGTACATATTGATGCCCAAATTATCCTATCAATTGACTGACCAATTCCTCCAGGCATCATTCAGATGGATGGCTACCTTGAGCCCTTCAAGGACGCGCTGAAGAGCCGCTTCTCCAAGGCCCAGAAGTGGATCAAGACCATTGACGAGACTGAGGGCGGTCTTGAGAAGTTCTCGCGGGCAAGCATCCCAACCGCCTTGGCAAGAGCGGTGTAGCTAACAGCGCCCAGGGTTATGAGAAGTTCGGCTTCAATGTCCAGTCCAACGGCGACGTCGTCTACCGCGAATGGGCCCCGAATGCCCTGCGCGCCTACCTCATTGGTGACTTCAATGGCTGGGACCGCGATGCGACGCCCATGACCAAGAACGATTTCGGCGTCTTCGAGGTGACGATCCCTGGCCAGAACGGTCAGCCCACTATTCCCCACGACTCCAAGATCAAGGTCTCTTTCGTCGTCCCCAACGACCATGCGCGCCAGGAGCGCCTCCCCGCCTGGATCACCCGAGTGACCCAAGACCTCAACGTCTCCCCCGTATACGATGCCCGCTTCTGGAACCCTCCCCAGAAGTACGTCTGGAAGAACCAGCGGCCGCCCAAGCCCCAGAGCGCGCGTATCTACGAAGCCCACGTTGGTATCTCCTCCCCCGAGCCCAAGGTAGCGACCTACAAGGAGTTCACCCGCGACATCCTCCCTCGTATCAAGCACCTGGGATACAACACTATACAATTGATGGCCGTCATGGAGCATGCGTACTACGCCAGTTTCGGATACCAGATCAACAGCTTCTTCGCTGCGAGCAGCCGCTACGGCTTCCCAGACGACCTGAAGGAGCTCATTGATACTGCGCACGGAATGGGCATTACTGTCTTGCTGGACATGGTGCACAGTCACGCATCTAAGAACGTGCTTGACGGTCTCAACATGTTCGACGGCAGTGACCACCTCTACTTCCACGAGGGCGCCAAGGGACGACACGAGCTGTGGGACAGCAGGCTGTTCAACTACGGTTCCCATGAAGTCATGCGCTTCTTGCTCAGCAACCTGCGCTTCTGGATGGAGGAGTACCGCTTCGACGGGTTCCGATTCGACGGAGTTACCAGCATGCTATACACCCACCACGGCATTGGAACGTGAGTATTTATCCGCTTCTAATGCTAGCAAAGACTAACGCACCCAGGGGCTTCTCGGGTGGTTACCACGAATACTTCGGTCCTTCGGTCGATGAGGAGGCAGTCGTGTACCTCATGATTGCCAACGAGTTACTGCACACACTCTACCCCGACTCCATCACAATTGCCGAAGACGTTTCCGGTATGCCTGGTCTTTGCGTGTCGCTCTCGTTAGGCGGAATAGGATTCGACTACCGATTAGCCATGGCTGTACCCGACCTCTACATCAAGTGGTTGAAGGAGAAGCAGGACATTGACTGGGACATGGGCGCACTCGTCTTCACTTTGACAAACCGAAGGCACGGCGAGAAGACCATTGCCTACGCGGAGAGTCACGATCAAGCGTATGTTAATATCCGGAGTTTAACCCTCAATACTGACATATCCTAGGCTGGTTGGAGACAAGACTCTGCTCTTCTGGCTTTGCGACGCGCAAATGTACACCAATATGTCGGTTCTTTCAGAGCTCACCCCTGTCATCAACCGCGGTTTGTCGCTGCATAAGCTGATCCGACTGATCACACACGGTTTGGGAGGTGAGGGCTATTTGAACTTTGAGGGTAACGAGTTCGGTCACCCTGAGTGGCTCGACTTCCCTCGCGAAGGCAACAACAACAGCTTCCACTACGCCCGCCGCCAATTCAACCTCCCAGATGACGAGCTCCTCCGCTACAGGTTCCTCAACGAGTTCGACAGCAAGATGCAGTGGACCGAGGAGAAGTACGGATGGCTCCACTCGCCTCAGGCCTACGTCAGCCTCAAGCACGAGGGTGACAAGGTCATCGTATTTGAGCGCGCTGGACTGCTGTGGATCTTCAACTTCCATCCCCAGGAGAGCTTCACCGACTACCGTGTTGGTGTTGAGCAGGAGGGCACTTACCGTATCGTTCTGAGTACCGACAGCAAGGCGTTCGGTGGCCATGGTAACGTAGACGAGACAACCAGGTTCTTCACCACACCATTTGCCTGGAACGAGAGGAAGAACTTCCTGCAGGTGTACATTCCTAGCAGGACTGCTATTGTAAGTGAACCCTCATTTGGATGTATTGTGACCACATGCTAATCATATTCACAGGTACTGGCGCTCGAGAGCACTTTGTAAGAAGTATGACCGATGTCTAAGAGGCATGGTGATGGATGTTAAATTGAAGGGTCAATATACCCAGCGAAATGATCGTGCCGCATAGTATGAATAGCGATTTGTGTCTCGATAGATTAATAGAAGACATCTGCCGATCAACTACGCCCTTGTTCTCTTCCAATATGTGACAAATTTATGTTATAGCTTCATTAAGATGAGTACACAAGCCGTTGGGTATCATTAGACATGTGTCCAAGTTTGGTATGGCTCTCTACCAGTGTCAAAAAGGTCGTAAGATAGGAGTGAATGCAACATGTCCTCGGCCGGTAGGAAGCTTGGAGTTCTAGCTGCAGGTGACGGTTAGAGTATACATCATCTTGCCGGTGCTTCACGTATCAACAAACACCTTGGCGAATGCTCCCAGGTTCTGTTTTCGCGGAAGGGTAAGTTTGGAGACATCGATGTGTATGGCAAGAATGTCCTATATGTTTCATTTAATTGAGCTATTCCTCATGTAACAAAGACCTGCGAGCTCTACTTGGGTGATTAGCGTTTGTACGTCATGAAAATGTCGGGTATCTCATCGAAGTATTGTTATGTTTTTGCCCATGGGTCGAGTCCAGCTTGAGACCAAGGTTTTTGCCATGCGGAGTTCTTTTTTTTGCTAGTAGCGCTTGCGGTCGTCTTAGCCCTGTTGTGTCACTGCAGGTGAAGGTGAAAGTGAAGGTGACTCAAAGATAGTTTATTAATTTCGGTTTGTTTTGTACTTGCTGCCGACTATTGTAGAGTCTTGTACTGTCCAATCGAGAATGAATAACACCCGGTGCGTACTTTATGATCCTTGCTGTACCTAACGCGCAAAGCATATGCATCTTGCTATTGTGCAGTGCGTGATATACATGAGCTTCTTCTTAGTCGTCCCCTGTGTCTTTCCTTCGATCACTATATGTGAGCGATGTGAATTCAGACACTGCTAGGCCATCGACTGCTAAGGGTCGACTTGCATATATATCAGTTAAACGACAACTGTCGCGGATTGGATTTACGAAGTCTTCGATGACAGCCCATTGCACCTCGTCAATTTCATGGTAGGTTAGTCTGGTTGATAGTCGCCGCCGCGCAGCCACCCACCACCTCGCCCGGCCCTGTAACGCACTCCAAGTTCTTCGCTTGACTACCAGAGCAGAACAAGTAACGAACACTTTGCGCAAAATAATAAAGAGGGGAGGAGAGGGAAAGAGAAGAAGGGAACCGGCGTCTCGCCAGCACGATCAAGGCATCTCGCCATGTGCAGAGATCAATCACTTACAATCGGTGAAGGAAGGCGTCTCGCTTCACTCTTCGTTTTCGTCGTCGTCTTCTTCATTCCTCGCTGCCGACTTCCTCTTGCGATTGACGGGGCCCTTCAGTTGCCTGATCTTCGGTGCGTCCATGTCTTGAAGAGCCCGCCACCTAGCCTGGTGCATGTTGCAGAGATACTCGTCCACCTTGCCCATTCAACCTCTACTCTTCTCGGTGCATCTGACATCAGCGGTTCGATGTCGCCAAGCACACCCATGGGGCTTCGGTAGATATTCCTTAGTCTCCCTATCCTGCTTTCGCTTCGGCGCATTCATGGGCTGACCTTGACGAAGACAGCCTTCGTGCGACCGGCAGACGAACATGTATCTCACCATCACAATGGAAGGTGTTGAAGAACAGCACTTACAATATATGAAGCCTGGTATTTCGAGATCCTACCCAACACGCAAAATCTACTTTGAAGTATACGCTCTGTGTTACGGTCATAACGTTGTAAGACAGGATGTAATGTAGACGCCCAGGATATGTTTCCAGAACACGGGAAGTTTTCAGCTTCTCCATTTACAAATCGACCACGAGCTCCGTTCCGCCGGAGTTGTCATATAGGATGCTCCAAAGACCCGCATCTGGAAGTGATGATGGTGGTTACATTTCGTGCGTTGCAGCATACATCAGCGTCTCGACTGGGCTACAGTTGCTGACAGTAGAGCCTGGAGGTACTCACAGTTAGAACCATGCCGTCGCGGTAACTTCTCGTACTGGTTTGGAGACTACGAGCAAGCTTTTATTACCTTTAGTATGACAACCGCTTCATCGATGTATTGTGCGATGCGAGGGATACATAATTGACATCATGGTTGTTGATCTCCAGAATTGGCGACCGAGAGGAAAGACAATGCCAGGAATAAGCGTACCCAGAGAGATGAGAAGCTCGGTGGCTAGATAACATCTTGTGGAAGCTTCATCGTCCCTGTTGGCATAACGTTGTGTGGCGGGTTCTTGAGTTGGCGACGATTGTTCGAATTTCCCGATAGTTGAAACGGCGAAACATCTCATTCGGGAGGACCTAGTTGTACGGGGTATGAGCCTTGGAAATTGTGAGTCGCTCTTCGGCGACGGGCCATCACGATGAGTACCAAGGTAGAGTGTGTGAGTCGACTGTTGCGAGTATGTATCCCGATACGCATCCTCGTTATGATCTGAATTCACGGAACAGTCGTGGGACTTGGCCTCAGGCCGCAGCCTGAGTTGTAGTCTACTGTGTAGATGGGTTGACAGAATCTTTTGCGCACACCATGACCTTGTGTACCATCATTTCGCTTTGCGCGGTCTGATTCCGAGGCGGCTGCTGAAGACGGTTGTTCAATCGGAGCGAATCGGAAGGCGGTTGTGCGTCGTGGCATCGACCAAGAAGGCATGCATGTGAAGGTAAGTCGCGATGCTCGAAGGGTAAGAGCGATCACACTCAAAGTGTAAGAATAGAATCGCAACGTGCTTTGGAGATTGTGGGAAAATCGATCCTGGGGTTGTCTCGTTGCCGGATGCTAACCGCGTGGGCACTAGCCGCGCACGGATCTTTTGGCACGCCGCCTTCCTTTCGAGCTGTGAGAAGCTCTTTCCTCATCAACCCACCCTCTCTCCACTCACCAATCCGTCTACCACATATCTCACAATGCTGAAGAGGTAAGCCAAACGCCCAATGAGTTCAATTGACGATGAATTGAGATGGACTGACGCCTATTTCGACAGTGGGATCCAGCAGGCGCTCCGCGCTTCCATGCGCAGGCCGGCCATCCGCCGCAGCGCATTTTCGCCCATGAAGAAGAGCTTCGCCCCAGCTATGTCCACACGCTTCGCCAGCACCGATGCTACAAAGGATGGCAAGATTCACCAGGTTATTGGCGCTATCGTTGATGTCGGTCTTGCCTAATTCCTTTAAGAAAAGTTTTCTGGTCGATGGTGGTGGAGTTTTGACTTCGCCATCAGCGATCGCATCCACACAACAGCCGCTGACAACCAATTGCAGGTCAAGTTCGACACCGAGCAGCTCCCTGCTATTCTCAACGCTGTCACAACCCAGAACGGTGACCAGAAGCTGATCCTCGAAGTCGCTGTAAGGACGCCAAGAATTGAAGAAGTGGGAACAGCATCACTGATTCAGCACAGCAACATTTGGGTGAGAACGTCGTCCGCTGCATTGCCATGGACGGTACCGAGGGTCTCGTCCGAGGTTCCAAGGCCACCGACACCGGTGCTCCCATCAAGATCCCCGTTGGTCACGGTACCCTTGGTCGTATCATGAACGTCACTGGTGACCCCATTGACGAGCGTGGTCCCATCAAGGCCACCAAGTACGCCCCCATCCACGCCGACCCCCCGGAGTTCACCGAGCAGTCCACCTCCGCCGAGGTCCTCGTCACCGGTATCAAGGTTGTTGACCTGTTGGCTCCTTACGCTCGTGGTGGAAAGATTGGTCTCTTCGGAGGTGCCGGTGTCGGAAAGACTGTGTTCATTCAGGAGTTGATCGTAAGGACACGGAATGTTTGCAGGCTGAGCATCAGCTAACGATGGGCAGAACAACATCGCCAAGGCCCACGGTGGTTTCTCCGTCTTCACTGGTGTCGGTGAGCGTACCCGTGAGGGTAACGATCTGTACCACGAGATGCAGGAGACTTCCGTCATTCAGCTTGACGGTGACTCCAAGGTCGCCCTTGTCTTCGGTCAGATGAACGAGCCCCCGGGTGCCCGTGCCCGTGTTGCCCTTACTGGTCTTACCGTTGCTGAGGTAAGTTCTTGACCAACGACATGTACTTACGGCTGCTAATTTTTCCCTTTTAAGTACTTCCGTGATGAAGAGGGTCAGGATGTGTTGCTCTTCATTGACAACATTTTCAGATTCACACGCAAGTCGCCCCCCTTCACTCCCCCAGCGAATCGCACACTAACAGATTTACAGAGGCCGGTTCCGAGGTGTCTGCTCTTCTCGGTCGTATTCCCTCTGCCGTCGGTTACCAGCCCACCCTCGCCATCGACATGGGTGTCATGCAGGAGCGTATTACCACCACCACCAAGGGATCCATTACCTCCGTCCAGGCCGTCTACGTGCCCGCTGACGATTTGACTGACCCTGCTCCCGCCACCACCTTCGCCCATTTGGACGCCACCACTGTCTTGTCCCGTGGTATCTCCGAGTTGGGTATCTACCCCGCCGTCGACCCTCTTGACTCCAAGTCCCGTATGTTGGACCCCCGTGTCATCGGTCAGGACCACTACGACACCGCCACCCGCGTCCAGCAGATTCTCCAGGAGTACAAGTCGCTCCAGGATATCATTGCCATTCTCGGTATGGACGAGTTGTCGGAAGCTGACAAGCTTACCGTCGAGCGCGCCCGTAAGATCCAGCGTTTCTTGAGCCAGCCTTTCGCTGTCGCCCAGGTCTTCACTGGTATTGAGGGCAAGCTTGTCGACCTCAAGGACACCATCCGCTCATTCAAGGCTATCTTGACTGGTGAGGGTGACGACCTTCCCGAGGGTGAGTTTCCCACATATCCATTTTCACAGCGTTTGACTGACAACTCTAGGTGCTTTCTACATGGTCGGTGACTTCGAGTCAGCCCGCGCCAAGGGAGAGAAGATTCTTGCCGAGCTCGAGAAGTCATAGACGGACTTTCGTGGTGGGTGAAGAGTCGGCCAAAGTGTCTAGGGCAAATCGCTGGTAGTCTCACTTTGTACAAAAGATATACCTCCGAAACTGTGGGACTTTAGCGGGTGTCATGATGCGTGGCTTTCTGTAGCTTATCTTGCATGAAGAGACCGCTTTTTCTTGTTCGAAACATCTCGATTCTTATGTGCTGGTGATTCTGACGACAAACAAGTTATCAAGTTTCCCTGATTGGACGTTCTATTGAAATGGCCCTTGTACGGCGCGACTACGCCTAAGGATATTGAAGAGTCAACCCTTCTTCCAGTCCCAGGGGTGCCGCTATACAGTGCTGGTGACCCCGGCTCGTTCACGTCTCGAGGATAGCTTCTGGTTGGCTATCCAAAATCTTGAGAGGAAGCAGTGGACAAGACATGGGCATTGTGCAACTCACAGACTAGATAGGACGATACAATATACCAGGATGAAATCATGAAGGTATCGTGGAGTCTACAATAGCATCAAAATGAAAAGTTGATAGGATCCCAACGCGATGTAGACTTCTAAGTTATTTATTCCAAGGATCATCTGTAGGCGATTGCTCAGGTTTTCCTTGAATGGAGCGAGAGAAGATATGGTGTATACTGCGAGAAACTGACGCTGAAAGTGCATCCAATCATCAGCGACGAAAGACGTTGCACAGAGCACTTGAATTTACGGGATTACGTGGACTGGAGACAAGTGTTCCATTTGTCCCATGGGTCGTGGGCCTGAAAGTACATGCCCATTAGAAAGGCTGTTTGAACGCATACACCCGCCACGTGCAAGGGAGGAAGTACCTAGGTAGAAAAGAGCGCAACAGCCTAAACGAGCATAAACATGAAGTATACAATATCTCAAGGTAATGTAGACTTCTGGGCAATTCACTTTTAACACGTGTTTGAAACATTCCTTAAAAAGGGTGCTCCCATCATTTACACTGTTGGGCGTATGTTTAAAGTTCACTTTTGCTCCTGGACACATCGGACAAAGAGCTGAAGTTGACGTTCAAACATGAATTGCAATTACACAACCGACAATCGTGAGCTCATGAAGTCAGCTGAGCCATGAGCAAGCTTGTAGTGTCTAGGAAATAAAGCGCGGCCGCGATCTTCAGATTGACCATCAAGTATGACATTCCAAAGCTGACATATCTCATTTCTGTGCGACAACATCACCTCGGCCGCGGATGCGGGTAAGTGCGTCTTGCATGGCTGCTGTCAGCTTTCTCACACATCGTTTCATAGCATGATATCTGTCTGCATGCTGCAGTTCGTGACTTTGATCAGCATGGCAGTCACCTGATGACGGGTGTGGATAGATCGTGCATTGAATTGTACATTGCAGATGGCGAAAGAACTGTTTAATATTGAGCAAAGATGACAAGGATTTTCCAACCTCACCAACCAAGATACCTTGGGCAATGAACCCCTATCATATCGCTGTTGTGTGGATGTAATTGCTAATAGCGAACTTAAAACCCTATAAGCATCCGCTAGAAAACTGTTTTTAAAGAAGTTAGGCAAAACTAACATCTATATAATATTAACATCCTTATTCTATATACCTGCTTTGAATTAGCAATCACGCGACTACACATGTATTATCTGATATGACGAGGGTGGAGCGCCTTGATTTGAGAGTTGCGTAAATCATACAATGTGCGTCTTGCACATGATCGAATTGGAGGACCTTCAAGTAAACGCGAAAAGCCTCTAGATTTCTGTACAATGAGGACTATTATGACAATGGCCGATCGGCAGCCGTTCGGAATGCTTTCGATCTTGTTGTATGTGACACAGACAGTACCAAACGGAAAGTTGACACAAGGAAAATGTGGTATCGGTATTGGCATGGTGATTGCTGTGACGCTTCTATTCGACTCTTTACTCATCGTTGAGCTTCTCCCTGGCAGGCAGGTCCTTCTCGGACTTGCTCTGTACCAACATTCCCTTGTAACCGGTGATGGGCTCGCTGCCTTGCGACTGTGCTGTGTTAGTGCTGACGCGAATGTGCGAGCGTGGAAGTGGCATACCTTGAGGTACTCCTCACTGGCCTCTTGCCATTCCTTTGTCATGGTGCGGGGCCGGATGGGGCTGGCGAACATGCGCGTGAAGGCGAAGACGGCAAAGGCACCCATGATGACGGCAGAGGAGAGGAGGAAGACGTTGCGGCCCTCATCCGGGGGCGGGGGTCGGCGGGGACCGTGGGGACCAAAGGCAATGTAGTAGGCTGTATACAAAGGGTGTTGTCAGCGCGGTGTTCGTATCGATGATTTCTCGGCACGTCGCGATAACTCGCGTTAAGCGCACCAGATGCCGCGGGCTAGCTCGGGTACCTCGATCAAAACACAAGATACGTCATACGAGCTGTCGCAGTACCCAGATGCGCTGAATGGGATTGTACGCACCAGCCTTCTTCTCCTGCATGGTCAACTCTTTCCAGTCGGTCTTCATGCGGTCCCTAAGCGTCATCCACAGATCGGCCTGCTCCTGTGGGGGCATGTCCTCCCATCGCTTCTCGATGTTGGCGAGGGTCGGGTTGGAGATGGCGTGGGCCTGGCGGGATTGCTGGATCTGGCAGGCTACAGGGGCAGCTCTGGGGAGAGCAGTGCGGGTCGCGGTCGATGACATGGCGGCAGCCGAGCTTGAAGCCCGGGCAATGGACGAGCGCAGCATGGCGGCGGGTGGAGTGGAGAGTGTCGAAAAATAGAAAACAAAAGGAGGAGCTTCCCGTCGAGGGACCTACAGCTGCCAATGGATCGTGGTGGTGATGGAGTCGATGGTGGGCCAGGAGAGCTGTCTTGCAAAATGTGGTTGCGGGAGGAACGCCAAGGTGGTGGAACGATCAATCTTCTGTGGCCCGAGCGCCCTCGTCGTCCTAACGCTGAGTCTCTCATTGGCCGGGACAACCGTCTATCTCGGCATCTGAGAGCCTCATCCCACCCTGCGCTGAGGTTGCCATGTTTCCGATATACGCCATGGTGAGAGGGAATCCACGTGGAATGAAGGTGGATGTTGCCGTTCGTTCGAACAGCTTTCCAAGGTTAGCAGTTCTCTCACAGGGCCCAGTCGCGACATTGACATTGGAGATTTGACCGAGGAACCTTTGGCGGCACTATAAGTCTACAATAGCATCGCGATCGTGACCTCAGTTCAGCTACGACTGGTCATAGGGAAACGCTGAATGGGTGCGCTTTCGCCCTGCGTGCGCTGCTTGGTCGGCAGAGACCCCTGAATTTAGCTAGATAAGGCACCATAATGTCGCAACAAACAAGACAAGATGGTATGTGTATGCTAAATCGACTATATCGAGAGGCTTTTGCTGAACTATATATCTACATGCGTTCATCGTTCCTCTTTCTGGGTACCCGAGTGAGCATGGAACGTTCAACTTGGAACAAAACACTCGCAAATTCCCTCAAGCGCGGGGTAGAACAGTGCTGCGAGAGTCTACAACATATAGATGCTAACCTATCATGAATGCCCTCCAAACGTGTGTAAGCAATTAGACATCTCTGACAGGATAACGTTTAGTTCTGCTTGTTCAGACACGCTCTACCTAGGTGGATTCCAAGGTGTCTTCCCGTCCCGTGATCGGAGGCTCGGCACCTGCGCACAACATACGCGTCGGGGCGGGACTCGCTTGCATCGTCATCTGAACTCCGAGGTCGAGCTCGAGCTCAAGCTGTAGCTGTAGCTCCAGCTCTCCTTGCCACGGCACCCATATGCAGGTACCTGTGCTCCTGGTTTAATCGCCGTAGCATCTGGCGATCATGTGGCGGGCCAGAGCTGCTACAAATAACATGTCTGTCCATCATAGTGCCACGGTGCCGGCCGCGGATACCCACGCCTCATCTCGAACCATACTCGACTTTGCCTGGCGGAGAGAATCTCGGTGGTGACACAAAACACTCGCCTCCCCACGAACCGGTGATCGCATCAGACTCTGCTGCGCGCTTTGGTTTATCATATCGAATGACCAAAAGACCCTGCCCACGAGAGCGACAACGGCTGACGCCCGCGCAGAGCTGTTTTAATCACTAGTCTGTGCTCTCGCTGATTACGAGATGCACGTATACCTCTTTCGTAAGAGCATTGATAGAATCGTGTCCTGCGTGGCGTGCCGGGCCTGAATGGCCGACCAGCCGCCTACGGTACATACTGCAGTATGCGAGGCTGCAAGTTCGGTATCACCAGAGCGCTTGGCGTCACGAATGCGTCTGGAGATGGTCACGGATGCCTCGGTCAGGGTACTCTCAGCATAGTCTGCCCGAGCTGCCCGCCTTGCTCTCCGGTGCAGTCCGCGGCCTCGAATGATGGCGATATCGCCCCCGAGGCTGAATGCGAATGCGCTTGGCTTGACAAGCAGGTAGCCGGCCGGAAGTGTGGGAGGCGCAGGTGGTGTAATTGGGGGCCCAGGCTGCGCTGCATATCGGATTACAGAAAAAGAACTAAAACTTGTGACGTCCTCAAGCTGGTCGCTATTTAGCTTGCCCCTCCCTCACCTGGGCACCCCACCTTAGCCCAGACCCAACAAAACACTGCGCCCGACACAAAACTCTGTCTCTCACCACTTCTACATCAGCTTATACCCTATAAAAGAGTGAGCTCAGCGCAATTGCCTTGCTTCCTCTTCAACTCTCTAACTTTCTCAGCACTACACTCAGTTCATCATGGTTGTCAAGGTAAGCTCCTTCCACTACCCCGCTGCGCCAGGAGGCAGTCACTAACACGTCCGCGCAGGTTGGTATCAACGGATTCGGTCGCATTGGCCGTATCGTCTTCCGCAATGCTATCGAGCACAACGACGTCGACATTGTCGCCGTGAACGACCCCTTCATCGAGCCTCACTACGCTGTAAGCATCCCCGCGCAAACACAAACCCAGAACAGCCCACCCATCTTTGCACATCGGCTTTTGCGATGCCATGCAGCGGCTCTACGACTACGGGACGCAAGCTAACACACGCAGGCCTACATGCTCAAGTATGACAGCACACACGGCCAGTTCAAGGGCGAGATCAAGGTCGACGGCAACAACCTGACCGTCAACGGCAAGACCATCCGCTTCCACATGGAGAAGGACCCCGCCAACATCCCATGGAGCGAGACCGGCGCCTACTACGTCGTCGAGTCCACCGGTGTCTTCACCACCACCGAGAAGGCCAAGGCTCACTTGAAGGGTGGAGCCAAGAAGGTTGTCATCTCTGCTCCCTCCGCCGATGCCCCCATGTTCGTCATGGGCGTCAACCACGAGACTTACAAGTCCGACATCGAGGTGCTCTCCAACGCCTCTTGCACAACCAACTGCCTTGCTCCCCTGGCCAAGGTTGTCCACGACAAGTTCACCATCATTGAGGGTCTCATGACCACCATCCACTCCTACACTGCCACCCAGAAGGTCGTTGACGGCCCCTCCGCTAAGGACTGGCGTGGTGGCCGTACCGCTGCCCAGAACATCATTCCCAGCAGCACTGGTGCCGCCAAGGCTGTCGGCAAGGTCATTCCTGAGCTCAACGGCAAGCTCACTGGTATGGCCATGCGTGTTCCCACTGCCAACGTCTCGGTTGTCGACTTGACTGTCCGCATCGAGAAGGCTGCGTCCTACGACGAGATCAAGCAGGCCATCAAGGAGGCTGCTGACGGCCCACTCAACGGTAAGCTTTTACTTTCCCATGCCATTCAAGTGCACGTTCTGACATGACATAGGCATTCTCGGCTACACTGAGGACGACATTGTCTCCACTGACTTGAACGGTGACAACCGTTCTTCCATCTTCGACGCCAAGGCTGGTATCTCCCTGAACAAGAACTTCGTCAAGCTCGTCTCCTGGTACGACAACGAGTGGGGTTACTCCCGCCGTGTCCTTGACCTCCTGGTCTACATTGCCAAGGTTGATGGCAACGCTTAGGAGTCAGGACAGAGCCAGGCAACACCTAAACTCTGATTTCACTTCTTCAGCACCGACTCAATGGAGCGGGCTACCTTTGGCTAGGCGCGGACAACGCGGGGATGAAAATATGGTCTGAACATGAATGCGTTATGCTAGACATGAATCAATGAATAATAATCACCACAATAAAGCTCGCCTGTATCCCGTGAACATGGAGTGACAATAAGGCTCCCCTCGCCCGTCTGCATGGTAGTGGAGCTGCCCCTGTCGTTGCATTTTCTAGCGCTCCTTTGCGAGCTAGTTCCCGAGGTACGACTCTCACGCGAATGTATACTTGCACGCGGATCCCTTTCTCGCGCTTAGTTCCCGGCTGCTCGTTTATGTCCCGTAATCTGGCGAAAGCATTTGCGGGGAAGAACGGGGTGTTCTAGGTGGCTTCCGTGATGCGGCAGTTTCAGGCATCTGAATGGCTAGTATCGGCTTTGGGCTTCTGAATGGCTATACTGAGGAGCTGTCCTGAGAATATCAGTAACCTTAAAGCATGCCCTCCCCGAAAGCGCCATCTCTCAGTAGTGAATGTTCACACTCGTGTGTCGTCGTATCATGGCATCCCGAGGTCCTGTATTGGGACATTGGGAGAGCACTTGGCCTCGGTCTGCGGGTTGCCGAGATGCCATGTCGGAAGCGGATGATGAAGCTACCTAGTTCATACACAGCTGAACCACATAACGCTGCTCATGCTTGCCGCTGCCATAACTTTGAGGAAGATTAGGTCACCAGGTTGAGCACTGAAGGCATGCGGCGAGAGACCGCGCTAAATAACTTGGCGCTGCTTAGTCATGTGACGGATCTTGGCCGCGTAGGGAACTTGCATTGCAACGCTCCACTTTATCCCCTACTTTGAAGCCCAGCATCAGCTATCACGAGATTCAGAAAGCTATAGACTGCTTTTACGTTACATAAAATTGCTGGAGCTCCAGTCTCACGTTGTTCAGCAGCTGATGTAGGTGACCTCTGTCGCGATTTACGATCTGCCTTCCACATAACGCGACGAACAACATATAGTCAGTGCATAACGACCTTTACTTACCCAACTACAGATCAGCACAACTCCGTGAAAAACGTATCGCAAAGAAACAACACTTGGCGCTCTCACCCTGCAGCATCCACTAGAGCGTGATCTACTCTCATCTTCTGGAACCAATCCTCCACCAATACGTTTAGCTCCAGTACAGCTAGCTCAATGCGGTAGCGATATCGCCAGTAAGTACCTTTCTATTCACCACTTCCGAAATTCATCCCAAAGCAGCTCTTACAGTTAGCTCCGCATCAACAACATGTTCTCATACTAGAGGTCGACCCTCAAAGCGCTTTCTCTTCAACATCTTTGTTTCTTAGCATGCTTGGGATCACATTCCCATCTACCCAAATCGGCTTCAGATTAGAAGCATGGTTTTCTTCATTCACTCAGCACACCATGCTGAAGTCATGGGGTCGGGTGTTCAAAGTCATACGACCAGCGCGTCTGATAGTGTTGTCGCTAATGGATTTATAGCTGCAAGCCCGCGACCGCAAAGCGAGGCGTACCATGCCCGCTTTACCCTACGAAATAGTCATGGCAGACGAAGACTATGCCATGGGAGATGACTCCATCATCAATTCGACGGAGCCAAATGGGGACCATGTACTGGACACCGTGAACCCGTCTGAAGTTTTTGCGAACATCAAAGGCCCACCATTATCTAAAAGAGAGCAACTCCCCTTTCACAGCCCATCGAAGAACCCCTCATTTCTGCAACCTAGTACCACGCAGAGCCAGGCTGGATCACATCGAACGACAAAGTCGCCGAGTGGCTGGTCGGATAAGATGAGCATGTCGCGCCCCACTCCTGTTAGGCGATCAAGTCCGCAAGTTCGCATACCCCCAAAACCGAGATCATCGATTCTTCCATATGCGACGAACAAAACAGGCCTCGTCTACGACTCTCGTATGCGCTTTCACGCCGAGCTGCCTGACATGGATCTCATTGATGATATCCATCCCGAAGATCCGCGTCGTATTCACTCCATCTATGAAGAGATTAGGCAAGCTGGTCTACTGGCGACTAGTGATTTAGACGAAGACCAAGAAGACAAGTGCTGGAGGATCATGACGCGCTTCGCTACGAGACCAGAAATCCTTCTGATACACACGGAAGAGCATTACGCATTCGTAGAGTCTTTGCAGGGTAGGTTTATGATAACATTAAGAGAACTCGACTAACTTTGCTATTAGACATGACTGTGGAAGATCTTAAAATGGAGGCCTCCAATCGCGACTCAATTTACTTCAACCATGCGACCTATGAATGCGCCAAGCTCGCAGCTGGAGGAGCCATCGAGGCCTGTAAAGCGGTAGTACAAGGAATCGTGCGCAACGCAATCGCCATCATTCGTCCTCCCGGGCATCATGCCGAAACAGATCAGGCTTCGGGATTCTGCATCTTCAACAACGTTCCGATAGCTACCCGGGTCTGTCAGAATGCATATCCGGAAACTTGCCGTAAGGTCTTGATCTTGGACTGGGATGTTCACCACGGTAATGGCGTCCAGCATGCCTTTTACGAGGATCCAAACGTACTCTACATATCGCTGCATGTCTACAAAGACGGAAACTTCTACCCCAACTTGAAGGACGGTAATCTTGACTATTGCGGCAAAGGTCCTGGTGAGGGGAAGAATGTGAATATCCCTTGGGCGGAACACGGCATGGGCGACTCAGAATATCTCTACGCTTTCCAGGAAATTGTCATGCCCATTGCTACTGAGTTTGATCCGGATCTTGTCATAGTTTCGGCCGGTTTCGATGCAGCCGAAGGAGACCTGCTGGGCGGTTGTTTCGTCACACCAGCGTGTTACGGTCACATGACACATATGCTTATGCGACTAGCAAAGGGGAAAATCGTGGTGTGCCTCGAAGGCGGTTACAATCTCAGATCAATAGCGCGCTCGGCGCTAGCCGTGACGAGGGTACTCATGTTGGAGCCGCCGGATCGCCTGAACGAGGATCTTCCAGCCCCAAAGGATAGTGCGGTTTACGTCATAGAGAACGTGAAACGCCAGCACTCCAAGTACTGGAAGTCCCTCTACCCTAAACACCTGGACAAAACCGACCCTGGCTACAAAGATACATATCGATTGCACGAAATCATCCGCGAATGGCAGAGTCAGCGGCTGTCATCAGAACACTCCATGGTTCCTCTTCCTCCACTCCAAATCAACAAGGCTGGCTTATCCCAGACGTTTGAACATAATATTATTGCAACGTAAGTTCATTCTCCTCATAATCCCCGCAGATCCTGACTTAGTACAGACCAAAGTTCATGGACCGGTATCCTCTCCTCGTGATTTTTCACGACCCGCCGAGCTTCCAAGACCACACCGATCCGGTGACTGGTAAGAGAGAACTGCACAACACATGGCTTGTGAGTACGGCTGCAGTCTCGCACTGTGTAATCGCTGACTTTGGATGAAGACTGATGTTACGAAGAGGTATATTGACTGGGCCATCAACAATGACTTTCAAGTCATTGATGTCAATATTCCGAGAGTCGTTGCAGTGGAAGACGTGAGCTTTCGCGATGCTTTTGCCGAAACAGCTTGCTAATCACAGTCAGTCGATCATCGGCTACACAAGATCCGATGATTCCGCAGTCCGAGCGCAGCAAACCCGCGAGCTTGCAGCGTATCTGTGGGAGAACTATATTGAGTAAGTCTCTCAGAACGCGCTTTTGATCAATTATTAACGTGTGAATAGACCAAACGAGGCGACGCAAGTGTTCTTCATGGGTATCGGCGATGCGTATCTTGGACTTGTTGATCTACTGAGCCACAACGGTAAGCATCCCAAGTCCTCTCGCAGCTTGCCTTCCCAGAGCAGCGACTGACTTTACAGAAAACTGCACCGATCCGGATAGCCCAGTCGAGTGCTTAATCGGATTTGTGGGAGAAACAACTATTCAGTCCATCAAACGAGCAACGGACGACACCATTTCCAGCTGGTACTACTCCGTAAGTACGCTTGAAGACTACAACATGATACCAGCTAAGATTCGCAGCACTCTATGATTTTCGTGAAGAACAGCCACTTCGTCTGGAATCCGAGCCGTCAACGCAAGATGCGCAAGAAGCTTGGCAACCTTATCCAATCGCCCAAGGACAGTTTAGACGATATGCTCGAGCAGCATTTGGATGAAGTGCAAAGCCTACTTTTGGAAAAGAAGAGCGAGTTTGAAGAGATGAATGACATTTCCAGTCGTACTGACGAGGGGCCGCAGAATACGGTCGCAGGGCTGCGAAGCCCGCCTGTAGCGAGCGCGTCACACACATCTAGGCGGTTTGAGCAAGAAGCCGCCTCGAATCTGTTAAAGAGCCCTAAGATGCCTCAAATGGGCTTGTTCAGTGCGAGCAGTCCTCGGAGTCCCGTCAAAAGGCCACCCTTTTGATCTACTTGAAGTTGGTCGAGAGATGGCGTGATTTGCGGCATCCATCATATTCGTTGCATGGCCTGGCGTATCTGGCATACCTTTTTCGCTGTACGATGAAGCGATGTCTGATGTTTTATGTGTTGAGTACGCGCGCTGCATTTCTTCAATCGCAAATAATCAACATCTCCTAGAGGACAGCTGCGCCTCGATAATATGAGGACCCCGATGATGACAGTGATGTTGAACGAAAGTCTTATTGATAGCTTTGCTGATGCGATGCAATGCAAAACCTCGGTACTGTGAGCCGCTTCAAGATGGTCGGCTTGCGCCTCGCTTAGGTACGAGCCCTGGAGATGGCTAATCATGACGCCAGCCGTTATCCATCGAACCGGCCGAGCCCTACGCCTCACGACAGCCGCTCCGCGCTCGCATGATCCTCCACCCACCACAGCAATTACTCCGCACACGCATCGCAATCAGCATACTGCGCCCAAGCCATGCATGCGCCAAGCAGACGGGCCCGCTTTCATGGCCGGGTCGCTGACAAACGCTAAGCTCACTCGAGGCTGGCGGCTCAAACGCTCGATGCTCATTCCTTGACGACAACTCAGCTGTGCTCCACCACATGCCAGCTCGCGTACGAGAAGGATCTAGACGGCATGGCAGCTGCGAACAGCGCAAATCGATAACTAGATACGCGGAAAGAGTTGCTACGCGCCCTTGGCCAGCATCTCCAGATTCCTCAGAACGAGGTTGGAACGAGATTGGCAATACTGATGCACTCGGCGGCGCAGTCGAAGAGATGGTGGCACGGAAATAGGCCAAGTGGTGATGGGCCAGCATCAGCACTAGCTGCCGTTACACATATCCAACCTTCTATCGACTGTGCTTCTTATTCCCTGCTGACATGCTGATGGCACGCCCCGCTGGCGAATTTACAGGCATGTTGCTGCAATGGCTGTACGCCTCAGATGCGCCCGCACAAGGGCGCGCCTGCCAGATCGGCAACATTGAATGTACTGATTGGTTGCATAAGACGAACAAAGGCTATGTATGATGGCAGATACAGGAAGGTGGCCTGTCGCTTGGTCCACTATCCGCAGTGCGGCTGTGGGGGCTGGAAACAGCGGTATCGAGCAAGATGGGCGGAAGAGTGACTTAAGGGTTGGGGGTCAGCCTGCTGGGTCACCTCTGCTCTGTTTCTTTCTTTGAGCCTTTATGCTGCCTGCTACACTGCTAGCACTGCATTCATATTTCCCCGACAATCAGAAAACTGAGTGGACTAAGAGATCACGGGCTTTGTGCAGGAGGCTGGTCTTACTATTGTGCTTATCTACCCGCCACACCACCATCGCAATGAGACGCTCGTGGACCGCAAGGCTAGCAGTGGCCATCGCGACCAGCCAACTTTACTTTTCGTCTACTATGGCGCAAGATGTCTCACAGACAGCATCCAACAATATACAATCTTCATCGGCGACACCTACGACCTCGGAAGCAGTAGAATCGTCGACTGCAACACCGACATCTTCGAGTGAACCAACAATCCACTCAATCAAAGCTGGCGCCGGAGGCTTCAAATTTACACCGCAAGAACTTCACAATGTCTCCGTGGGCGACATCATTCAATGGGAGTTTTATCCACCGGATCATTCGGTCGCGAGAGCTGAGTTTGGATCAGCCTGCGTACCGTATGAGTATACGGGAAAAGACAAAGTAGGGTTCTGGTCTGAGACCCAATGGGTGAACAATACGAATGAGGTTGGTCCTTCGATGAACAGCCGGCCAAGTTACGCTAACACTCTCGCAGCTCACATACTTCAATGTTACGATCAACTCGACAGAACCCATCTTTTTCTATTGTGCAGCACCGAACTCGTGTCTGGGCGAACACATGGTCGGAGTCATCAACCCGAACTCTACGCAAACACTGGCATCGCAAGTTCAGGCGGCTGCCGCAGCAGACTTTCAACTAGCGCCTGGCGAACCAGTTCCTGGCGAGGCAACATCGACGCTGTCTAATGCTCCTACGTCAACGGGAGCACCGCCACCGTCTAAGGGGGGAGGTCATGGTGGCGGTCATAGCCTGTCCACTGGTGCCATCGTTGGCATAGTAATTGGTGGCGTGGCTTTCCTGGCAATCTGTGCCGCTCTCTTCTTCTTTGTAGGCCGATCCAAGTCGTTGAAGGAGGTTATCAAACAGCGAGATGGTACGAATACCCACGATCCAAACATGAGCCAACAGTACGGTCGCTCGGACTACGGTCATGGAGGACTCTCATCGCCAGGGTTTCAATCGCCAGCTCCTGGCTATGCTACTCCACCGCCAGGACACTACCCAGACTATGGCTTCAACTCGCCCCCAGGATACGGTCAGCACAACGTAGGAGAGCAGTACCCGTCGGGTTGGACCAGCCCTGGGCCCCAACACGGCCATATGAGTATGATGAGCAATGTCAGTGGGTTGTCGCAGCAACAGTAAGTACCACTCATCTGAAAGATACCTGGCCTAGACATGCACGCTAACTATGTTTATAGGATCGACCAACTAAAGCATGCACAAATGAACGGGCAACCTGCCGTAGCAGAGTTGCACAGTCCACCGCTGGAGCAACAGTCTTTCTCGGCAGAGTTGGACGCATCTGGACGCAATAAGCCAAAATGATGAGCGATATGTATTTGAATTATCATCTTTAGCTCGTATGCAATGTTTGTTTGAAATCATTTGGATAGAGTAGTGCAATGCCCGAATGGGACTCGTGCAGACAGCGTGATAAAGCATGAAAACCTTTAGCGCCGTTGCAAAGGCTGGATCATACGATGCAGGCTACCTCGAACAGAGACAGAAGAGATGTATATAGTGCAAGCTTATCGATAACATGAAGTGTAGTCACCACTTTGTTGTACGTACGACTCTCGCAACGACACTAGAGAATACATAAGTAATACACGAACCGACTCGAGACTAGATCTACTCCCGGAACTCACGGCAGCAAGAAGATCGGTCTAGCTGACGGTAGACCGTACAGCAACGAAACCATCATGTACTGCATCTGCAATTGCCACACGATACCATTTCGGGCCTATTGTGTAAAACCCTGCCAAGCGGCCCTCGTCTCGTCGAGTGATGTTGTGGCATTGTAAAACGTGGGCCGGCAACCAGCGGCTAGCGACATTGTGGTACCAGAGTTTATCGCAGGTAGATAGCAGAGGGTCCGCGGGTTAGGTAACTTTGAGGTTGGAGTTGGACGCGTCGCGCATAGTGGGTACTCGAGCGAGGATAATTGTCAGTTGATCGGTCGTCTGGTGAGTGAACTCTGCCAGGCGTTGACAGCTTTGTGCGATGATGACTGGAACATGCATGTTTTTTGTCGAAGTGACATCACGCTCATCGTGTAGTCAGGCTTGAATGAATTGAAGACTGGCGCAGTTTCGCAAGAGCAAAAATCTACACACTATCTAAGCTAGTGCGAGCGGAAGCTAGCGATCGGTTGTCGTCTTCTGGAAATTTTGATTAGAGGATGTTCCCTCCATGTCTAGGGCTTAATGGCTAATCATTGGCGGTCAGGCGCTCCGCAGCGATGACGAGCATGTTGGCACGCAGGGCCGATGCGCCTACACGCAACCAGCCAGGAAATGCGGTGAGAATTACTAAAGGCTGCGCAAGACAGGAAGAAGCAGCCATGGGATGGTTTGCCGATGTTCAAGAGGGTGCAAGGTTTGCCCGGCAGCCTACAGAAATCCCCGGACGTCACACGTGGTGTGGGCGCTGCCTGCTATCGTCAGAACGCCAGCCAAGCCTCGCTCAAGGAAGAGCGGCGGCCCTACGCACTCGACGCCAGATGAAGCCTCGCCGATGGTTCCTCCCTTCCCCACGTTCCTGCCAACAGTTCCGTGACCGTCCTCAGGCCTGACTATGATTTGCACCGCGGTTGCCCGATCTTGCCATCTTCCTCCACCCTAGGACCCCCAGCCCGGCACAACGACATGATCACTTCCTCACCCACAATCTCGCAACCGCCCTCGCCGAACACGACCTTCCACACGCCCACCCACCGCCCGTACCATGCCTCGCGACGCACATCGGCTTCCTCCAGCGCCCACTCGCCCCGCTTTGCCGTGACCACGGTAGCCTCACGGCGATTCGACGCGCCGCCCACCCCAAAGCCCGCCTTCTCGGCGCCCTCGCCAGTCCCGACGTTTGCGCCCTCGCCCCAGAGCCGCAAGAGGGGATACGTCGACTCCGGCACCCAGTACTCCCCGTCTGGGTTTCCCCCGACATATCGGCCGCAGCCCAGCAACCGCAGCAGTGCCGATATCGCTCTCGATTCCTCCACCCTTGACCAGGACCAGGACCAGAAAACGGCCGACCCGACGTCTTCCAGCGCTCCTGCCACTGTGCCTACACAGCGGGGGGATACCTCCGCCGCGCCTGTCGTCACGGAGCCCCCCGAGCCCCAAGTGCGGGTGAGTCCGCAGCCCATCGCGCCCGCGAACAATGTGCAACCTCAGGGTCGCCGCATGTCGCACGAGAGCACGCATGCGGAAGTAGAGCCAGCCGGGGTGCAGAAAGAGCAAAGCACTGTCTTGCAGGTTCCTGCCTCGCCAGCCAAGCGAGCGAGGCCCGAGGAGCCAGGCGTCAAGGTCATGCCCCTTCAGTATGAGACGTGCGACGTCAAAGACCTCGGTGTGCTCATCTCCGACATGCTTATGGAATTGGTGCGGCTCAACGACGGCTATCCGCTGCGCGACGGCACACTTACACGATTCCACTCCAGGTGCGTCCGTCCAAGACTGACTGAAGCAGTGTTCGCTGACATTGATCCCCAGAGCCCCGCCGGGCATCTCAGTACGAGACTATCTCTCCCGCCTCATAGTGCACGCTACACTGTCTCCGCCTATTCTCCTCTCCATGGTCTTCTACGTCGACAAGCTGTGCGCCATGTACCCCGCCTTCACAATCAGCAGCCTTACCGTGCATCGATTCCTCATAACTGCTGCGACAGTCGCGGCCAAGG